ATATTTTTCACATTTACCAAGTGTTCTATTTCCACAACAAAAACACCATGGCTTATGCCCCTTGCAATATGACGTCATTGGTGCCAATTGATAAACATTATGACGTCATCATGCTTTGTTAGAGCCGCTTCACGTGGTGTAGGTCTAGATGTGTGATTCTAGCGTCTCAGATGCCAGCCAGCATAGTGTTATGCTGAGTCACCACTGCGCCGGAGTGTGTCGTAGGCCATGTTGTTTTACCGCAAACTGGTACTTGATATCTTTTGCGTTGAGAATAGACAGGGACCCAGTTGAATTGGCACCAATTACGTCATAATCTAAGGGGGATTACTCAGGCCTGTTTAGCTCGAAAAACGAAGGCCTCATAACGGCATATCATTTTCACACTATTGTGAGCTTCCTACTTTCACTGTGAAAAAAATGAGTGTATATTTTCAAACACAGATACTAATTAATTCTAAAATTGCGTTTTGATTAGAAAAAGAAAGAAAGTGATTTTTGCGTGTACACTTCCCCTTTAAAGTGTTCGCTCGGCAGGCCGAAGGCTGGGGTTCGATTCCCGACATGGGTACAATGTGTGAAGCCCATTTCTGGTGTCTCCCGCCTTGATATTGCGTACTCACTCACTCACTCACTCTTATGCATGTCAAAGGCATTGTACACTTTATATGAGGATGAAGGTTTGAAGGCTTGAACCCGTCGCAAGTTATCACAACAACCGTATTATCTCGACACTAAGTAATTAACCTCAACGCACCCCAGCGGCTGTGTCGATATCATGTCGATTTCAAACAGCCAGTCTAACGTGTATCACAAATCGAACATTAATTATATGTTAATATACACTCACTTTCGTCACCGGTCAGCTGGTCTGATAAATGACAGGTTGCTGTCTCGTTGGAAGGGGTTGAATTTGGAGTAAATAGAGATCAATGACTTCAACAGACAAGCAGGTGACGCGATAATCCCCTGCTTCGTAAGAAGACAGTATTATGGGTACGCGGGATCACTGAGGTTACTTTTCTGAACGCAGGTATATTAATTCTTAAAGAAAGGGGTGCATTTTTTTCTGAAATCGTTAAATATATTTGTACTGCTTTATCTGTTTGCGACTCGGATTTCGGCGAATGCCACATCAAACGTCATGGTAAATTTATCATTTTGTGGCAACATTGGAGAAGAGTCAAACGTTATTCTTTTTTTTTAAAAAGAGTAAATTTATTGTGTCACTTTTTCTGAAATAAATAAGTGAGGTATAAGTTAGTGTGAACTGTCAATTAGATTTACTGCGACAGTGAAGATTAGTAGATTATATTTTCAAAGAAAGTTTAAAATTAATATATGATCTGGGTGTCAAGGGAACAACGCTGTATTTTTTAAGTTTAGTGGATAAAATATAATTGATTTAAAATATATTACACATGAGACCAGATGAACGACTTTTATATTATAATATTTCAGGGAGTTCATAGGAAAGATTATTTATTACGTTTAGATTCTAAATGCCATATAGATTAATTCTTACTTGCGCATGGCGTCTTGTTCTTTGCCTCTTTTTGTCTCATGTTTTACATCGGCCGTCACAATTTCAATGTCAACCGGACGGATACTACCTTTGAAACTATTAAGATGCAGCGCGCGTCATCTGCTCGTAACGCCGTGTACAAGCTCGATGTTTTAAGTGTTATAACAGTTAGTTTGATGGTACGTAGTTAAAGAATGTATTTACGATACTATTGTCTTGTGCCTGTTGACCAAATATACCTGGGGCGGCGTGAAAATCAGCATATTTGATATCAGAAGTTTTTGTTTAATTCTAAGGAGCTCATTTGCTTCTTCTTACACAAACTGGCGATCAATTTTTATATTTTAGCAAAATGTAACTTCTCGATGTATGAGTACACACACAAGCAAAACAAGAAAGAGGCGCATTGTTTGTTACGCTACAGTATCAGTCAGTCATATGTATTTTTTTCTCAATTAAATGGGGACTTGATCATTATTTAGACACACACACACACACACACACACACACACACACACGGAAATTAAATGGCACCTTCCATATGACCTGTGCATTGTTAGATATCCTGACCAGTAACTTTGACGACATTCTCAGCAAATACCTGTGTAACTATTCAATATTTTATGCAAGTAATTGCTTTGATAACAGTTTGCCGCTTACTTTGAACTGCCCACCATATGCAATGATACTATTTTACCCCATATCATCATGCTTCCCACGCTAAAGACGTGTCCTTTTTACCGTAACTGTATTGATATACACGACACTATGTTCCTATAACAGCTGCTGAAAAGACTACTGTTATAAACTGCAACCAGCAGGACACAATGCGTTTATTCTTTTTGAAGTCAGATCAACTTTCGACGTTTCAAATCTTCCAACACGTATAAATTGTCCCGTGTTGATAGTTGTACAATGGTCTGTGTTGTTTGCACACGGGGTTATTGCGCGCTGTAAACAACGGTAACACGTTCGCGAGTAAATTGCACCATAAAGAAAGCGTTAGCCCCTTACTGCACGAACTCAAACAAGGGAAGATAGTGTTCCCTTTGTTTTTCTAGTGTCGACCAGTGTCATTTCTCGGTTGATATGGTTTTGAATGCTTTCATCAGTGATACCGTTACACCAAGGTGTGCGCGAGGTATTCATGCTCGAATACAAAGGAGGGGGCAGGGATGCAACCCCCTACATCCTGTTTGAAACAATCATGTTGATGTATACTAAGTATATATAACTGAATCTTTACCTGACGTGTTTCAATTCAACAGAAAAAAACGACTATTTTTTGGCTTCCAAAAACATTTTGTTTGCATCATGTATCTAGTATTATATTTATTGATCACCACACACACACACACACACACACACACACACACACACACACACACACACACACACACACACACACACACACACACACACACACACACACTGTCTCTCTCTCTCAGACACACACACACACACACACACGCCGCCCCCTGCGTTTTCAAAATAGCCGGACACGTAACGTCAGGTAACGTCAGGTTGACCATGCCCCTCCATATGCTGTATATATATTATGTCGGGTGCTTTAGTCAAGCAGGTAGTGTGCTTAACCATCCCACTCGATTGATAGTTTTATTCCCTTTGTGCTTTCCATTTGAAAAATCATTTTTTCAAAGTTATTGTCACTTGTCACGGGCTGACAAGTTCATTTCAAATTTCAGTTTTCATCGTGTATGATGGCATATGGTACAGATAAAATACATCACTGTACAATGAGTAATAGGAGCTGCATTGTTGTTGACTGGGAATACATCATGACTCTTCCTAGATTTCTACAGACGCTGATTGTCATCTTGACAGAAGGTGTTGGTTAGGCACTGTCGATATTGTTTGCTCGCTTCCGTTCGCGGATATCAATTTCAGACCACATAAAGAAAGAATTTGTAATTGTTGTAAGAACGATCTACTTTATATTCATGACTTTATTGAAGGAGTGATTGCGATATCACTGATCGATATCGAATAATCAATAAAAGATGAATGAACGAGAAAATGACAAACTGTATTAATCAAAACACCACTCCTCAATGTGTTGAAAATTATTTCCCATTTTATATTCGCGACTGCAGTACATAAACACGTTACACGATAGCCATGGATGCATGGAGTAGTTCTATTGCAGAGTCACTGTCACTGAGGACGAGGGCAGTTCCTGTCAATGCGTCACGTGTATGTGAATGTTAACGAGTGAGTGTTGTTTTACGCCGCAGCAGACAAGCAGTCAGACCAGGGGTTGATAGAGTGAATGACGACTCTCGTCATCGGGGTACAATGATACGCAATATTCCAGATCACATAGTGTGACCAGCCTATCTCCTCGTCCCTTCCGTAATATCCGATTAAAATGACGTTCTAGACCGGTTACAACGTGTGTGTCCGTGTGCGTGTGCGTGTGCGTGTGCGTGTGCGTGTCTCCGTCCATGCGTGCGTGCATGGAGAATAAGGTGAGTCTGTCTTTGTACCCGACAGCGAGGATCGTTGCTCTACCACTCACTGATATAGGTGGAATATTTCTAACTGTGACGTACAACAACGCACATTTATCGACTACTTATCAGAGTACATAGCGACCTTAGCCCTAAGGTGATCGTAACTGCCATACCTTAACATGGACGTTGGACAGACATAGCGTTAAGGTTGTTTTGTACAACTGTACCCTGATGTACACCGCCTTGATATTGCTGGAATATTGCTTAAGTCGACGTAAAATCATATTCGCTCACTCACGCACTCACACTTCAATCAGACCGCCTCCGTTGTCTAGTGGTATAGCGTCCGCCCGGAGAGCGGAAGGTCCGGGGTTCGATCCCCGGCCGCGTCATACCAAAAGATGGTACTTGTTGTTACCCTGTCTGGCGCTCGGCATTAAGGGGCTAAAACAAGGACTGGTCGGCTCGGAGACCGTATACTGTGTCTGATTTGGATATTCATGTTAAACTGCGGCATGGTATCTCAGCGAGCTAGCACTAAAAATCGGCATCAGTTCCGGACTAGAACAAGCAGCCACACAAACACACACACGTACATGCACGTCGCTTTATAAGTGCAATAATCTTGGACGCGACGTTAAACCCCATTTCACCTCACACCTCAATCAAAGTACTTAGATGTTTTCGTGATTTCCCATTTTCGACAGTAGGGTTTGGGGGCGAAATCTGGACTATGTGGGTCTTCTTGCACGTTGAAGACAGGAATGAGGATGTAAGTAACTTCTGTTAAACATGACATGTTCATATTTTTCTAACATCAGTTCTGATCTCAATTACATTAGGTTCTGCATTACAAAAACACAACTCAATCAACAGAACACATGTCTATTCAGTCATCAGCCAGGGTCATCACGTGAATGCCTCTGTTACCAGTTGGTATAAATAGGGAATAAACTGGAGTGGTGAAAACGAACAAGGAATGTACCTAAATCAAACCGCCCAAGCTTTATATAGACAGTTTGCTATCTTCTGCGATTACGGACAGTGATGACAAACATCTATACCACGAGGGGAGACTGGACTAGCGTAGCGGGGACGATGATTCGGACACTTCTGATAACAGAAGTGGAGTATGACTTCATAATGGTAAAGTAAACAAGGAAGAGTCATCACAAGCTGTTTGAACAAACGCTGAGAGGTCCGTGAACTTCCTTGGTTTGTGATACTTTAATTTGACCCGTTAAGTGAGAGATTTATACTTCACTGTTCTAATGTTGTACCCAGTGGGTGCACCCAAAGGCGGACTGGCATTATCTTCCAGAAAAGGGGCAACTCTCGGCATCAAAGGGCTCGTGGAATGTTTGGTGAATTGATTTTGGGATACACCTTGAAGTCTTCACCACTTTGGGAACATATTTGAAGCCAAACTGCTGAGTTGAAGCTACGTTTCAGGTCATAAAACAGAACGGATTACACGATAACACCAGGGTGGTATCCGTTTGAAACATCTTAAAAGAGGCTTTGAGCAAAGTGAATTTGCGCGATGACAGAAGGTGGACTGCCAGTGACAATATAGTGGATTGACACGTGTCAGAAAAAAAGGATTGGCACAGTGACAGGTACTTGGATTGACACTGTGACAGTAAATTGGATTGACACAGTGACAGTAAATGGGATTGACACAGTGATAGTAAAGTGGATGGACACAGTGCCTGTAAAGTGGATTGACACAGTGACAGAAAGTAGACTGACACAGTGACAGTAAAGTGGATTGATACCGTGACAGAAGGTGGATGGACACGTGTCAGAAAATTTGATTGAAAACAGGGACAGCAAAGTGGATTGACACAGTGACGGTAAAGTGGATTGACAGTCACAGTAAAGTGTATTAACACGTGTCAGAAAAGTGGATTTGACACATTTGATGGAACATAGGATTTTAAGTTACACGGCGTAGTAAAATCTCCAACTTAATAATATGTTTTTATCATTTAACATTTCTCAAAGCCGTTAATCGCGAAACATTAAAAGCTTCCTTCCTGTACACATTAAAGTCATATGTGGAAAGCTAAAACATCCATCCATCATCTTTATCCTTTGTGTTCGGAAGCATCGATGTATGTTCACTTTATCACTGCCCCTCATTGTCAGCTTGAGCATTCAACTTCATAAGTACAACTTTTATCCGTCAACAATAGGTAATGTGTGTATACATGCATCCCTAACGACTGTTGACTATTGTGATGAAGGTAAATGAGCTCACCTAGCTCATGAATGTGGATAGGGTGGAATGTCCCGTGTAATTGTATATGGGTAAACATCGCATACAGTAATGATGTAACTGTACCGTAGCGACGTGATCAGGCCAGGGTTGGAGGTTGGGTGGGTAACTGATAGGTCCCAATGCTGTAATTGCTTCACAGCCTGGAGAAACGCGTATCCTGGAAGAGTGGCGTGTTGTCACCTGTGTTGACGATCTCCAGGACGATCTCACTCGATGACAGTTGGACCAATGTGAAAGACCACGACGAGACGAGGATTAACTTTTGTTTCATGTCGTGGACTTCGATAAAGGATAAACTTTTATACGGTCGGCCGATCTTCAAGACATACTTTACCACAAGGGCAATATATCATAACTATATCAAACGTCAGGTTTGTGGCGTAGCCGGGTATGAGGATGCGACCATCATACAGACTACATGAGCGGGTTTTGTCTAGACGATTCTTGTTTCATGGATTTATACATTAATCCTGATATCAACTTGTTACACAGAAGAGGATAATGTGCCATGCCATAAAGATACAGATGCATATTGTATCACGTTGTATCTGTATTCACTCGTTGAAATAGATTAGACCTTTGATTGTGGACTTTGACTTCGTCCTGTGATACAGTATGGACGAGCAATAATATTTTTTATGTTATACAGTGTGCATACTTGAAACTTATATCACAAAGACTGATCTCCAATGTCACCTTTTCAAATTTAGTATCACAACCCATGCCACATCAGGAGACAAATTCTGTCGAGAATCGGAAACTTCTATGATAGACTAACATTACGTTGCTAATCTTATGAAAGGCGGTTATAAGGCAGTCATCGTTCGTTACATGGGATACGGGATATGTCATAACCTCACGTTCAACGAAGGGATAGAAAAAGACACTTGCAAATGTTGCGACCGAAAAGTAGCCGCAGCCAGTCCAATTCAGCCGGATCCCAAAGGGACAAGAAAACGCCAAAGAGCGGAAGGTCCTCAGCAAGACCTTGGGATGAGTCTTCGTCCTCTAGGTCTTCCTCAAGGTCCTCTTCCAACACAAGACCTAGCTCTATGACAAGGTGTGCGTCAAGGTAGGACTTTAAGTCATATATACTTCAGGCAGACAGACGGAATACGGATGCCTGAAGCTAGTTTCTTGAAATATTTCATTAAATTTTTATGAATGGTGGAAAATATTAATTTTGCATCGCCGATATCAAGGTATTATTACAGGTTCAAGAACTATATCAAAAGGGAGATCATTGACATGTAAGAAAAGAGTGTATATTTGGGTTCTTTTTAATTCACAAGGAATGAAATATACTTGCGATTACTTATAATTCTTTTCGATGCAATGCAACAAGAATGTCATTATTTAATAGACTCAAGGTTCCATAAGTTACGATTTTTGTCACTCTCTGCCAATGCTTTTATGAAAGTTATGTTTGTTATTGATTTTAGGGTTTTGCCGCATTTATTAACAAGGATATGCTATAAAGATGTTAATACTATCACATGTTTGTGTATTCAAACACTTCTGATTTCTGAAATTGCAGTTAACCTGTTAATTTTACTTCGTACCGCTGGTAGCATAAGTCAAGATAGACCACCTTCGGGTTGAAACATGTATTAAAAGCATTTACGTACTCAAAACTCCTACCCCTCAGAGTGATGGATCACCTCGCCCATGAGTTCCTGGAAATGAATGGACTTGACATTTAGACTTCCTTTTTATCCATAGAAGTATACATATCAACACCCACATACTAATCACAATCGTCTTTTTGTGGTCTTTCAACTGTGTTAACTGTTGCATTTAATCCCACACAAACATATAAACAGAAGGTCGAGAGCCTGTGTATGTTCAATCCGTTTCGCATATGAGAGATATGATTTATTACTACTGCAATTATTTATCAAGACACCGGTCCACTCAGGTAGGATTTATAACACAGGATATAAATGTGGGACAAACCTGATAGGCTGGAGTGGACCACTTAGACTCTCACCAGGTACTGCTGTTTGGTTAGCTATTACGTATGATAAATGTCTGAAGGATTTTGTGATAATATTTTTATTCAACGGGCTTACATTACATTACAGGAGGCAGCCCCAAAAGATTGGCATGTACTTTAAACGTGACATCCATGAAAATGGCATTTGTGATGTTTTGGGTGCAACAAGTGTATACGTTGCACAATACATGTATGTATCAATGCACATGTGGAGTTATCTCGGGCAGCGCAATTCGCTGTGGAGTGGTGCACAGAAACATATGATTGTTGGTTTGAATCCCATTCGCTCTGTTAATGTGTTTTGCATCCTCAGGACATCATCTCTTCCCTTGGGTTTCGCCAAAGTGGTAAACGTCTACGATCTGCATCGTTTCGAGCTTTCCTCCCAAATCTGTGTGGATTCCTAGACGGGACATTGCGTTGTCACCTTACAAACACATGCAAAAGGTAGCGAAATCGCAAAGATACAACGCATCATTTTGACCATCTGTTGCATTGTCGCGCTTTGGATAATGTTTTTTTCTGATGTCTAAACAAAGGGCGGCGACATTCTAAAATGTGTAAGAAAAGGCGTTACAAAAGGTGACAACGCGGCTATAAAACATTGATAATGTCGCACTGTCGCATTGTCGACCTTGATCCATAAACGGCGAGCATGTGTCGTAAGTGAATTCTTTTATCCAAGCGCAGAAAGAGTTAAACCCATTTTCAATACTCCGCTGGTCTTTTTAAGTTCCTGTGATTCCAACACAAAAGTACCAACAGCAATATGGAATGCTTATCTTAAAATGAAAACAAAGCTTAGAAATCATTCCATATATCCTGATTGTCGGTGTCGTTTTCCTAAACCCGCGTGTTGCATATAATTATTTCATAACATCGATGATGGATCCCGGTTGGCCCAGGTGTCGTGTAGGTGGTGCACTTCCCTGTGTACAGTTGCGTCCCCTGATCGTTGGTTCGAATCCTCGATTCGTCATGATTCTATGTCTATGGTTGTCAGCACCATACCCCTGACTTTGTTTTTTCCTCCCACATCAAGCTGACAAGTCGTGAAATCACCAACATACTGTATAAAGCGGCGTTAAACAATACACACTCACCTAAGGCAAAAGAGGTGAGGTGAAATGGGGTTGAACGTCGCGTCCAAGATTATTTCACTTATATAGCGACGTGCATGTACGTGTTTGTGTGTGTCTGCTTGTACTAGTCCGGACTGATGCCGTTTTATAGTGCTAGCTCACTGAGATACCATGCCGCAGTTTAACATGAATACCCTACTCGGACACTGTATAAGGACTCCGAGTCGACCAGTCCTTGTTTTAGCCCCTTGATGCCGAGCGCCAGACAGGGTAACAACAAGTACCATCTTTTAACGTTAAGGCAAAAGATAAATGCAAGAGACCATATTGCTATTTATTATCTTGCTACCAAGGTTATATTTGTTTTGTTTGTTTTCTTGTTGTTTAACGCCGCACTCAGCAATATGCCAGCTATATGACGGCGGTCTGTAAATAATTCGAGTCTGGACCAGACAATCCAGTGATTGATATCATGAGCATCGATCTACTCATTTGGGATACGATTACATGCATCAACCAAGTCAGCGAGCCTGACCAGCCGATCCCGTTAGTCGCCTCTTACGACAAGCATGGGTTTCTGAAGTCCTATTCTACCCCGGATCTTCACGGGTCACCAAGGTTATATACGTCAGTATTAAATTTCTACATAAACGCACACAAATATAGGGCAGAGCACCTTAATTCAGGAAATAACAAAGGACCCCTTTGACTGTTATATATTTGGTTTGCTCAACGATGTTGTTCATATCTTCGTTATTGAGCAGGACAAGTACATCGAATTGATCTGGATGAACGAGGTTCCGAACTGTTCCCAAATTTAATCATCATCAATCGATATGTTCGGATTATAGCGGTTCGTGATAACGAGTTTATCATACAGATTGGAGTTGATTGTTGTAATAAGTTTATTATGGCAACTTGTCAAACGATAAGTTGATTTTTTGGGTAAGGAGAGAACTATATCCTTGTTGGCGTTTCTCGCATTTTGTCGCGACATGAAATTCGAAGCACAAGTAGGAGGGTGTGTATGTCATTGCTGCCAATTTCTAAGTTTTCGTGGTTAATATAAGAAACGATTAAAAACTAACAGGGCATTATCTGTCCTAGAAATTTCAATAAACAACGCATGAAAGAAACACGCACAATAATTGTTCTTATAAATAATCATGCACGCGTGGTGTAGATTTCATCGTTACTTTTCACTCATATCACGTGCCTAACATACTGTTGACATTGCTACCCAATGTGCAAATAATGTTTAAACGAAGCTATATGTACATGTATGTTCAAACCTTAAAATTGTTCCAGCCAAGCCGTCGATGTTTTAAAGTGTTGCGTCTGTGCGCAATAATTCCCTAACTAAGAAAAGCGCTCGTAAAAGTGTCGCCAATCCTGTGCCACGATTAAATAATTTGCATTGCGTTTTAGGATTTGATAAATTCTATAAGCCTGATCATGATGTAAAGTTTGTTTATGAATGACATGGAACGACAGCCTATGCAGTGATTATTAACAATTTTCAACTACCCATCCATCTTTGGAACATGTGTCTATAATTAATAATATATCATATCGCCATGTTTCTTAATGTGTAGAAATGCATGATCATGTGGATATATTCACTTGGTAAATTTGAATATACAGGAGCACTATATTAATGTGTGTGCACACCTATGTGTAGGATGATTGCAAGACATAATGGTAGTGGTTGAAATGTCTGTCTCCAACTTTTGACTCGGCGACATAATTTAAAACAGACCCGTGAAGATCCAGGTGAGAATAGGTCTTCAGCAACCCATGCTTGCCTTAAAAGGAGACTGTGCTTGTCATAAGAGGCGACTTACGGGATTGGGTGGTCAGGCTCGCTGACTTGGTTGATGCATGTCATCGTATCCCAATTGCGTAGATCGATGCTCATGATGTCAATCACTGGTATGTCTCGTCCATACTCTGTTATTTACAGGCCGCCGTCATACAGCTGGACTATTGCTGAGTGTGACGTTAAACAACAAGCAAACAATAAAATAATTTAAGACAGTTTACCAACGCCATTTGCATCCACACAGGTGAGATATTACTCCTGTCACACAAGATGTGTTTTATGTGTTTCAGCGACACTGCTCTAAAGCAACAATTATACGGGTAATGATGGTACAGGGAACACATTTCCGCGTCTGTTGACCATTACCCTGAGTGGCCTTTTTACCGTCCATATTTAAATGTCATGTGTACATATAGACTTTTATATGACTTCGGGAATCGATGTCTTAACCCTTCTAAAATGACGTTTGTTTCTTTTTCATCCGAAACGTTTCAAAGGGGTATATTATCTTTGAATCCTAAACGAATTTTGATAATTTCATGTCCGGCCCGCCTTTGAAATTATTATTTTCTGATAATGGTCAATAATCGTTAAAATATTAATGCGGATATCCTCCTAATGCTATGCTAACTTTGTCGCTTGAGGGAATTATTACGGATGTACACGACATGTTCAAGTAGTTGTTTTAGCTTCAGCGGGCACCTGTGCACGAGTTGGGTGTCGACACTGAGTCGAAAAGCACACAGTAATGTGTTGGTGTTAAAAAGTCTGATAACGCTGATAACCTGCACACAATTTAACTGTTTTTCAGTGCCCATCCCTCATTCAATAACCCACGTTTCGCCTGACCAACGATAAATTCTTAAACTGTAACATTCTGCCAAATCCATTGTAGTTTAAGCTCCAGTGTTTTCTGACATTATGAAATATTCGTCACAAAAAAGTACCGTACATTAGCCATATTTTCTTTGTTCAATGTTGCTATGATCCGTAATGTAAACAGTTCTGTCAGTGTATAATGCCTTCACCAAACAAACGGCCATTTCATCCCGCCGACCCTGAAAACCACACGCACCTTGTCAATCGCCGTATGGCGTTGCCAAATGATGTACCCTGTTAAAGTTGGCCGCGTGCTAATCTCAAAAATCAATGTAGCATGAGGTAAATATTTC